CCGAACCGACATCGATCTAATTCCTGGGTCCGACTGTACTTTCGTGTATCGCGAGCGCCCCCGCGATGCCCCCTGGAAGACGGGCACGCGTTCTGGCCCAGACCGCGACGCAGTTAACGCTATCCGAAGACACTGTGGAGGCAGCAGAAGTTAACTGAAAGGTGAAACAACTTAGAAAAGTGGGTAGTTCTCTCCAACACGCTGCTGGATCCGCGCCCGCTCAATGTCCAGCCCCCCGAATTCCACCAGCCCTCACGTGCATTACAAAAGGCACATTTTTCGTCATTGGCAAGTCATGGTGGGTATCTCATTGTCTCGTGATGAAATGACGTCTCATGCTCGCTCGTCCTGCAATGCCCTCGCGAGTTAGGTGGGAGGCAGACATGGTGATCGTGGTTACCACTGGCAAATGTATTGAGCCGCGTCATGATGTTCCTCCGATTGCGGTGCTGCTTCAAAGTGGTGGGTTGCAACAGCAGCACCAACAACGGTCTGAGCGATTCCTCCCACTCTTTCCATCGCAGTTGTTTGGGTCTGGCCGTTCCAACTATTCCCAGCATTAAGTCGGGCACGTCCCTCTACAGGAGGAATGTTCAAAAATAGTCAAAACATTGTCTGGGCACTATGTTTCGAGTATGGTTGAGCATTTTTTGATTACCTTTAGACCATGTCATATTTCTCGTCCAAAACCCGCCTTTAGGAGGACACGCCCGACCCGATCCCAGCACTGTGGACTCCCAGCGGGTTCAGGGCCTGCGCCGCTCCAGGCCGTGCAGCACGTTTCCCGCACGCCAAAGGACAGTTGCTCGATGGTATGGCCGCAGCACCGGTTTGGGATGGTGGTGGGTGCGGTGGAAGAGCGGCATCGCACAGATGGGTGCAGTGCCAAAGTCTCTCTCATCACATTTCTGGAGGTGCCCTGGTGTCAGGTCGGGCATGTCCCCTACAGGCGGAGCTTGGACGAAACATGAAAACATAGACTACACATTATCGAACATTTGAAGGGGCCCCAGGACACACAAATAAATACACACAAACAAGAATACTCCCCATATTTTCCCATATTTTCTAGGTTTCTGTCTTCCACCCCACTTCCCATATTTTCCCATATTTTCTGGGGAATCGAGGATTAATTGTGTCTGTGTGTTTTTTCCTCTCCTGAACATTGTCAAACAATCGTTAAACAAATCGTCCCCTGACTATTTTTTAACTGCTGCTGAATATTCCTCCTGCAGAGGGACAGGCCCGATTTCACCCTGGTGGGGGAGAGCCAGCGGCTGGTATGCCAGCGTGTGTATGCATCGTGCTTTGACCAAGCAGCAGCCGTAGGGGGCAGGATGTAAAGGGAAGAGGCAGGCATCAGCAGTAGCAGCAAAAACAGGAGCAGGGCAGGGGAGAGGAGAGCGAGAGGCGGGAGGCGAGCAGCAACAACACCAGCAACACCAGCAGCAGCAGCCGGGGGGGGGAGGGGAGAGGGGTGGGGAGGGGAGGGGATGCGCAGCAGCAGCAGCACCAGCAGCAGCACCTGCAGCAACGGCTGAAGAGAGGGAGCGAGAAGAGGGGGAGGGAGGCGCGCAGCAGAGCAGCAGCGCCAACAGCTGCACCATCACCAGCAGCATCACCACCACCACCAGCAGCAGCAGCAGCAGCAGCCCCGACAATTCTTTGTCCCACCTCCATGTTTGATGGCCCCGGGGCCCGAAAACGGCCTCCGAGGGCCGATATCTGGGAAACACGCCGCATGTGAAAACCACCACATCGTCGGAGATCTGGGCCTTCTCCGACGCTCCGGGCTTCCCTTCGCGCGACCCCCCTTCCCCGAGGGGGAACGTTGAGGGGTGACCGGCTCCTAGGGGCAAGCATCGACGTGGAAGCGGCGGTACATCGCCGACAGAGCAGCGATAATTCCCCCGACAGCGAGACCGCACTTCAGGCCCCCATCGCCAATCAGTGGGCGCTTTGTGGTCGATCCGATCCCCCCTGAGCGTATCTCCCCCTAGCCCCGAACATTGCCATTGATCCTTCTCCCGGGGAGACCAGGGGGGGGTCGCGCACGCCCAGCCACGTGCGTGAACACGCGCCCCCCCCGGCTTGCGATGCCGCCGTGCCACGAGCTGTCGCCGCCATGCGCCCGATGGCAGCCCACGTGAACTCGTGTGCGCGTGCGCCCCTGCCTCGCTCCACCCCTTCGGCCTGCCCCCCACTGGCCAGGGGCGCCAAGCTTCGCGCTTCGCGCTGTGCGGAGCGCGAACAACTTCGCGCCCTCGCGCAGCCCCCCGGGGGAGAAGAGGAGGACGAGGAGGAACGGAGCGGAGCCGAACCGAATCGAGGGCGCCCTTGCTAACGTTGCCCCTGACTCATAACAGGGCGAGCTGAGACAACGGCAGCTCGAAATCTGTTGGCGTGTGGAAGACGCCGCTATGCGAGATTGAGCAACGTCGCAGCTGAATCTATCGCAAAGCGAAATTGAGCAACGTCGTAGCTGAGTCAAAAGGAAAATTCATCCCTTTGATCCCTTCGCCGCCCGAGGGAGGGAGGGACCCGGGTGAGGGGGTCACCACCCAAATCGCGCCCTCGCGCAGCCCCCCGGGGGAGAAGAGGAGGACGAGGAGGAACGGAGCGGAGCCGAACCGAATCGAGGGCGCCCTTGCTAACGTTGCCCCTGACTCATAACAGGGCGAGCTGAGACAACGGCAGCTCGAAATCTGTTGGCGTGTGGAAGACGCCGCTATGCGAGATTGAGCAACGTCGCAGCTGAATCTATCGCAAAGCGAAATTGAGCAACGTCGTAGCTGAGTCAAAAGGAAAATTCATCCCTTTGATCCCTTCGCCGCCCGAGGGAGGGAGGGACCCGGGTGAGGGGGTCACCACCCAAATACAAACGCAACTTCCCCCCACCCCCCCCCCCCCCCAGAAAAGCGCCAAGACGTGGCAAGAGTGCCCCGACAGCGGCCCACAATGGTCCACAAGGGCCCCGAATTCGAAAACGATCGGTCCAAGGCGTCACAATAGCCTCCGGACGGTCCAATATACGTTTCCACGACGCCCCAGAAAACCTCCATGAGAACTCCAAAGCCAGCTCCGAAGGGCAAACATCGTCGATTTCCCGTAGGTTTCTGAGCCATTCTGGCGTTATTGCTTTCTCGGCTTCCCGGCGCGCCTACCCGCCCTAGACGCCCCCAATGACGCCACGAAATAGCCCAACAGGCCTCGCACAGCGCCCCCAAACGACCCCAACGTCAAGCTTCGCAGCAGGAGCAGCCGATCGTAGAAAACTTGAGAACAAGGAAAAACCGAATAGCATGAATAACGGCAGCACAGCGCAAGGAGACTGTACATGTCCTTCGAAAGACATGCTAACGATCACTCCAAAGCGTGTCAATATTAAAACCCGCCGCCCTCACTATTTTTAACAAAAAAAGCGAAACTTTGCGGGGTGGGCGGCAGGCTGGTCGTGGGTGGGTCGCGGCGCGCGGTCGCGGGAAGGGGCGTCCGTTGGTCAGCGCGAGCCCGCGCCTGGCGGCGGAGATGGGGGGGGGCAAGAAGAGAGGGCCGAGCAAGGGAGAAAACCATGGGCGAAAGGGGAAAAGGGAGAGGAACGGGCCGAGTCGGGAACCAGGAAAGGGGCGGAGGCAAGAAGGGAAAGGAGGGGCAGGGGAACATAGGGGCGAGAACTGCGCGAAATGGGGCGCGGGGATGGGGCCGAGGAGCGGGCCTCCCCGAGTCGGGGGGGGGGGCAGGAAAGGGCGGGGGGAATAATGGAAAGGACGGGGGGGAAGTGGGAGGCGAGCAATGGGCGAGGGGCGGGACAAGCGGCCGGTCGGTTCAGGACTGCAGTCATCGCACCCCTAGAAAGAACGCGCTGTGGCGAACGAATTGGCCGTTCTGGCCACGGCGGGCCTGGGCCACGGGCAGGTTCCACCGCGTATATCCAAGGAGCGGCCCTTACTTCAGCGCATTGACTGCGCGCGCGGGCCATTTCCCTTGGTCAACGCCGCGCTGACTCCACAGCTCCTTGCAAATCATACCTTCGCGCGACAGCGCGCGATGCCCTCGCGCGCGCAACGGGGGCGGCGGGTCGCGAGGGGAGGAGGGGGAGGATGAGGAGGAAACACAATATATAACGGAGGAAGATGACAAGGAGGATATCGAGGAGGAGGGGGAGGAGGTGGAGGAGGAGGAGGAGGAGGAGGGAAAGGATGATGATGATGAGGAGGAGGAGGAGGAGGAGGAGGAGGAGGGATGGTGATGATGCTGATGATGCTGATGCTGGCGATGGTGATGATTCTGATTATGATGATGCTGATGATGCTGGTGAGGAGGAGGAGGAGAAGGAAGATGAGGAGGAGGATGAGGAGGAGGAGGAAGGGGGGCGGCGACCGAGAGTCCACCAACCCGTCGGGCGGGAACGCCTGCAACCCCCCTGCCCCCAGGGCCCAGACCTTGGAGGGCGGGGCCCGCAGCCGTCCGCTCTACAGGGCCCAAGCCTAAGGGGGAGAGGGCTTGTAAACGCAAAGGGAGGGGGGGGGGGATGGCGAGGAGACCAAATCGCCCCCGCGGCCCGCGCGAGCGCAGCCACTGCCCTAGCTCGCCGCTCGCCGCCCGAGACGGGCGCGGGGGGGAGAGAGAGAGTGAGGGGGGGGCGACGCGGGCGATGGGGGAACGGACAACGGCGATGGCATTGGCGCACATCCAACGTGAGGGGGCGAGCACGAAAACGAATGTTGGGGGAACGGACTAGCATGAGGATGAGCATGCGGACGAAGATGAGGACGATGACGATAATGCTGACGAGGATGAGGATGAGGATGAGGACGAGGGCGAGGATGAGGATGAGGGCCGCCCCGCGGGACCCCGCGACTCGCCCGCGCCGCCTTCCCAACATCCCTCCCCCATCCCCACCCACCTGCCCACCGGTCGCCCTGATCACCGCGCGCTCCTCGCGCCCTCCATCCTCCAGCCCGCCGGGCCGGCGGGCGCGCCGACCCCCTTCATTGTGCTCAGCTGCCGAAGCCGAGCATCTTCTGGCCCTTGGCCTCGCCCGCCTTCTTCAGCGCCTTCTGCTTGGGTCCAGCTTGGGCCCAGCTTTGCCTCGTCAGCCTTCTTGGCCTGGCGCCCCTCCTCAGCCTGCTCTGCCGGGCGCTTCTCATCCTCAGCCTGCTTGGCCAGGCGCTTCTCATCCTCAGCCTGCTTGGCCTGGCGCGTCTCCTCCTCGGCCTGCTTGGCCAGGCGGTCCTCCTCAGCCTTCCTGGCCTGGCGCTCCTCCTCGGCCTGCTTGGCCTGGCGCTTCTCCTCCTCAGCCTGCTTGGCCTGGCGCTCCTCATCAGCCTGCTTGGCCTGGCGCTCTTCCTCCTCAGCCTGCTTGGCCTGGCGCTGCTCCTCCTCAGCCTGCTTGGCCTGCCGCTGCTCCTCCTCGGCCTGCTTGGCCTGGCGCTCCTCCTCGGCCTGCTTGGCCAGGCGCTCCGCCTTAGCCTGCTTGGCCTGACGCTCCTCTTCAGCCTGCTTGACCTGACGTTCTACCTCAATCGGCTTGGCCTTGCGCGTCTCCTCATCCTCGGCTTGCTTGGCTTGGCGCGCCTCCTCAGCCTGCTTGGCCTGGCGACCCCCATCGTCGCGCTTCTCGTCCTCAGCCTGCTTGGCCAATCGCTCCCCCTGAGCCTGCTTGACCTGGCGCTCCCCCTCCTCAGCCTGCTTGGCCTGGCGCTCCTCCTCGGCTTGCTTGGCCTGGCGCTCCTCCTGCCTGATTGGCCTGGCGCTCTTCCCCTCGGCCTGCTTGCCCTGATTCTCATCCTCATCAGCTTGCTTGGCCTGGCGCTCCTCCTCAGCCTGCTTGGCCTGGCGCTCCTCCTCCGCAGCCTGCTTGGCCAGGCGCTCCTCAACAGCCTGCTTGCCCTGGTTATCCTCCTCAGCCTGCTTGGCTAAGCGCGTATCTTCAGCCTGCTTGGCCTGGTGTTCCTCCTCGGCCTGCTTGGCCTGGCGCCCCCCCTCAGCCTGCTTGGCCTGGCGCTCATCCTCAGCCTGCTTGGCCTGGCGCGTCTCCTCCTCAGCCTGCTTGGCCTGGCGCGTCTCCTCCTCAGCCTGCTTGGCCAGGCGGTCCTCCTCAGCCTGCTTGGCCAGGCGCTTCTCCTCATCCTGCTTGGCCTGGCGCCCCTCCTCAGCCTGCTTGGCCTGGCGTTCCTCCTCAGCCTGTTTGGACAGGCGCTCCTCCTCAGCCTGCTTGGCCTGGCGCTCTTCATCCTCGGCCTGCTTGGCCTGGCGCTCCTCCTCCTCAGCCTGCTTGGCTAAGCGCGTCTCTTCAGCCTGCTTGGCCTGGCGCTCCTCCTCAGCCAGCTTGGCCTGGCGCTCCTCCTCAGCCTGCTTGGCCTGGCGCTCCTCCTCAGCCTGCTTGGCCAGGCGCTCCTCCTCAGCCCGCTTGGCCTGGCGCTCCTCCTCAGCCTGCTTGGCCTGGCGCTCCTCCTCAGCCTGCTTGGCCAGGCGCTCCTCCTCAGCCTGCTTGGCCTGGCGCTCCTCCTCAGCCTGCTTGGCCAGGCGCTCCTCCTCAGCCTGCTTGGCCTGGCGCTTCTCCTCCTCTGCCTGCTTGGCCTGGCGCTCCTCCTCAGCCTGCTTGGCCTTGCGCTCCTCCACAGCTTGATTGGCCTGGCGCTCCTCATCGGCTTGCTTGGCCTGGCGCTCCGCCTCAGCCTGCTTGGCCTTTCGCGTCTTCTCTTCCTCATCCTGCTTGGCCTGGCGCTCTGCATCCTCAGCCTGCTTGGCCAGGCGCTCCTCCTCAGCCTGCTTGGCCTGGCGCTCTTCATCCTCAGCCTGCTTGGCCTGGCGCTCCTCCCCAGCCTGCTTCCCCTGGTCCTTCTCCTCGGCATTCTTCCCTGCGTGCTCCTGATCCTTCTTGCCGTCGCCCAGCGCGAGCATGGTCGCCGCGGTGTTGGTGTCCAGGTCAATCTGGTTGCGCTCGTGATGGTTCGGCGCCCTTGCGAGCTTGGCAGCGACCGCGCGCCGCAACGCCTGCAAGTGCGACGCCTCGGCCACCTCTGACGGGCCGAGCGTGACAGCGAGCACGCGGTGTCTATGCAATCCTTGGAACACAGTGACGCCGTGCACGCGCGGCGCACCGCGCAGGACCACGAACTACGAATGCAAACGCACTGCGCAACGCCAGAACCATAATGTCAGAATGTGGCGGGTGTTCGAACAGGTGACGCACGTCGAGTGCCGAGGGTGAGATTCGGGGCGCGGGGGGGAGGGGGGGGGGCGTTGTTTACAAGGGGGGTTCGGCGGAGGGGGAATGATTCGGCGGCAGGCGCCATGGGACGGATACAGCGGCACATAGTGGAACGGGGAGGGTCGAGAGGCAGGGGCGGCGAGGGGAGGGGGGGCGCCAGAACCCTGCGCGCCTCGGGGATCCCCACGATCACCTCAAGGGTCGACAAGAGGTGCACCAGCGGCGCCCCAACCCTGATGTTGCCGATCGACTGCCTCGCAGCGCGCCCCCCTCTCTCCAGCTCT